ATGGCGAAGCAAGACAGCATTGCTGAAGAGTGACACTGGATGGTGATGACAGACCGCAGTGTTGGACAGCAATGTTGTGTCCCCCACTATCCCACCCCAAGGCAGCACCACATCTTGCACCCATCCYCAGGGCCAAACCAAGGGAGCTCCTTGATGCCCACAAGCACACTCAGTGCCCACAGGGCAGGCAAATGTGCCCTGAATGCAGAAATGCTCACAGCCAAGGAGGCAAGCCCTAGGAAGCACAGTGAGAGAGCAGCCTCTTGAGGCTTCAGCGCCAGCTGGAAGGCAATCAGGAATGGATAGTGATTCTCTACAGTTGTCAACTCTYCTGAAGAGAGGAGGAGCAGTGCAGTGAAGGGTGTAATTTGGGAGCGATGTAGAGGGCAAGCAGCTGGAATTTCTTCCCTCATGCCCCCAAACTGCAATCTTCTCTCTCCCTGACATGACTTGGGCAGTACCCCACCTCGCTTGGGTGCCTTCTGCTCACAGGGACCCTCCCCCCAGGCACCTGAGAGCATTTCTTACTCACCCCCAATTAAAAAGAGCTCAAAGAAAAGACCAGGAAAGAGTCCCTGCATAATTTGAGCAGTAGACACACATTAGGAGGGATGGGTACATTGCTCCCAGGGTTTCCTCAACCAGAAAAGAAGCCAAGCACACATCAGTGTGGATCAGTGGCAAGTTGAGCTCTAATGTACAGGGTCAGCAATGCAGGGAACACCCCTGCTCCTTGGAGTTTATCTGTCCCTAGGGCAGCCAGCAAGACCATAGGATGAAGGGCGTCTTTGAGCTAAGCTCCTCAGAAACAGCAGCTCTCAAATCATCAGCAAGCTCAGTCAGAGAGTCCCTGTGATGGGTTATCACACACAGTACCTGCTTTAATAGGTTGATGTGGTGCTGAAAGGGAGGACAACCCCTCAAGAACCTCTGGGGAACTTCTTGGGAAGGGAAGCTAGTGGACAGGCTTGGTGACATCCCAAGTGCCCCAGGTAAGGCAGAGTCAAGTCCATCCCAGCAGAAGTAGTGCAATGGAGGGACTTTAGTCTGTTCCCAGTTCCCTCAAGAACTCTCTAACCTTGAGAACATCCTAACCACCTCCAGCAACTATGGCCTGCTCATCTCAGGCACCAACACATCTAGGAGCAGAGCGGAACTAGAGAGGTCTAGGCTATGGAGAGGCACTAAATGAGAGCCCATGTCCTCATGCAGGAGCACAGCAAGTAGAAAGCCAGCATTGCCCCACTTCCTGGAGAGATCATTTTGATCGTTTGCAGATCTTTAAAACCTGCTTGGATGCAGCCCTGTGCCATGTGCTCTAGGTGACCCTGCGTGAGCAGGGGGGTTGGACTAGATGACCTCTGAAGGTCCCTTCCAACCTTAAGCATTCTATGATTTCTATGATCATAGGCCTCACGCATGCACTGTGCTCCCGCAGGTACTGCATCACGGTCGGACTCCTCCCTTGGGGCCAGTACCACTGTAACTGTGCATGCACACAGGAGGATGAGTGTGGCCTGTGTGCACACTCAGCCCCTGGTGTAGGTTGCAGGTCAGGTGTTTGCACAGCTCTGCACACTGCGCACTCCCTCAGCGTCGCAGGGAGCACAGGATGTGTGCGCACCCATGTGTGCAGAGACGTGCTGCACGTGCACCCTCACAAACAGCTGCAGGGTGTGCACGGGGGTGGGCACCATGTGCACCCTCGCCCATTGGTGTATTCAGCATGCACATCTGTACAGCCACGCGTGTGTGCACATCAGCATGGGGTGCTCTGTGCCGACATCCGTACAGGGCATATCTGCCCAGATGTATGCACGCCATGTCTGTGCGCACATCTGCTCTGACCCATGCCGCATGCTGAGGTGCACACCCGCACATGTCRGCAGCTGTGCGCGCACCCATCTGCACAGCTGCACACATGTAATGCAGTGCACACCAACACCTGCGCCCGGCATGCACAGGATGCGTGCGCGTCTGTGCCAGGGTCTATTCCGTATGTGTGCACGCCTGCATAAGGGCTGCACTGTGCAGGYGCATACGTGCTACCTGGCCTCTCTGCGAAGCAGCAGGATGGCACATGTGTGTACGTGTGTCCCAAAGCTGATATACACATGCATGCTTAGCAGGCTGGGAAGCTTTAGGGGAGGGAGCAAAGCTTTGAAGTGTCTCTCCCSTCACTGCATTTCAGGGTCCCAGTTGTTCCCACAGGGCCATGGGCACCTCCGCTGGGCTCTCCTCCTGTTTTCGCAGGTTTTTGCATCTGCCCTTGTACCCCAGCAAGCCCTGCCACACAGTAAGGTCCGAGCACCCGTACCAGGGAACTCACCATGTCACCTCCAACCAGTAACCATTTAGCTCCTCCTGCCCAATCTGGAGAGAGCGAGGAGTAGCCAGGATAGCATGGGAAGCAAGGAAAGGAGCCCAAGGTGGTTGAGGCCACACAGCTCTGGGTTTGTGTCCCTAGGAGCAAAGCCAAGAGGAGGGTCTCCTGTCCCCCAACAGCTCTTGGGCAAGGACCTCGTAATGTGCCCATCCCCTCCCAAATTAACCCAGAGGTCTCACCACCCCTGCAGACCATGGGATCCCATCACTGCCGCAAACAGCTGGAGAAGGGAGCTGCAGGCACAACTGCATGCCACARTGATCCCCACCCAAGGTACCCTCCCGCCAAAGCATCCTCTATGCAGCTTCCCACTCTCCGTTCTTGCTCCAGGGCTATCCCTTCCACTTTGCTGCCCCACAGTCACTGTCCTTCAGGGTCCTGTCTCCTTCAGGGTGCCCCAGGGCCACCAGCTTGCCCATGCCGAGGTGCTCCGAGATCTGGCCACGCAGCTGCCGGTGCAGCTGGGCAGAAAGCAAGGGGCACCAGCAAAACACGAAGGGGAGAGGAGTACTGCCAAGGCCCCATCCCACCAGTGGCTCCGGGTGCTGGGCTGCTTGAGGGGTCTGCTAGGACAGGGACCTCGGTGAAGGTGCCGGGTGCCCTGCGTCCCACAGGTTTCGGGGGCTCCTGCCCCAGGCTGGGGTTAYGCTGCTGAAAGGTGAAGCTGCAGCCCCTCACGCACCCCAGTCCCGTCCCGTCCCCGTGCCCACCGTGGGGTCCCCGCCCGCAGCCCTGTCGGCGGCACCGGGGCTGTGCGCGGGCCGGGGGGGTCCCGGGCTGCCGCCGCCCCGCCAGGGCACGGAGAGACCCGAGGCCGCGGGGGCGCGGGAGCCGCAGCGCTTACCTGGGACCGGCGGACTGAGCCGGGAGCCGGAGCCCGAGCCGGAGCCGGTGCCGAAGCTGCCGCCCGCCGCCGCCTCTGACTCTTCGGCAGCCCCAGCCCGCCGAGCTGCTCCGCCCCCCGGCCCGCCCCGCGCCCGGCACAGCCCCCTGCCCAGGCTGCCCCCGCCTCCCCCCGAGCTGCGGGGGCGCCCAGGGGCACCCCGGCCTCGCGAGCGCTGAGTGCTCCGAGGGGCTGCCAAGGCTGGAGCGCCCGGGGTCACCAGCCGCCTTTCAACATTCGCCCAGACCCTTCCTGGCCCCTTCTGTCTCCCCGGGACCCCGTAGCGCCGCATCCTGACCGGTCCGGCAAGAGAGTTCCACATCTCCGCAACAAGAGCGGGACAAGTGTGGTGGGCAGTTGGGGGCAGAAGCAACTGGATGTCTCCCGCRCTCTGACGGCTTCCCACGCAGCTCCAAATGACCATCTCAGCACCCCCTGCCTCAGTTTCCCCGAGGGGCTTTCAGCAGTTGTTCTGCATGTCGTTGCCTTTCCAGCTGGGAGGGATGGGGGCAAAATTCCCCCTAGCCCCAGGGCTAAGGGGCAAGCGGCATCAGGATGTGCTGCCTGGCTCCAGCCCCCAGGGAGACGCTGCCAGGCATCAATATTTCAGGGGGGTTGGTTGAATCGTAGTAACTGGCAACGAAGATAAACACCCAGRAAGAGCAATATTTTTCCATGTGGGCTGGAGGAGTTTAATATTTTATCACTCGGAGCACAAAATATTTATGAACAATCTAATGGCAATCGCTGGCTGAGGAGGAGTCTCCACCTTTGCGAGCCAGGGAGGACACGTCCCCACTCTGGGTGGATGGCCAGGGGACTCCTGTCCCCGTTCCCCTCCCCATTGGGGAACCAGCTCCATTTTGGGACCACCACAGCCCTTCCCCCAGGGAAGCACAAGCCCTGGGTTGGCGAAGGGAAACAGGCAGCGGAGAAGAGCCGAGCGATGGGGCTGGGCAAGGAACTTGGGRAGGGAGGTGCTCTAACCTTCAGCCCTTGCTGCAGGACACGCTGGCAGCCCAGCCGATGACACCTTAGCCACCTTCTCCACTCTCCAGGGGTAAAATTCTTCTTAGCCACCTGCTCCTCTTACAGGGGCTGCAAGCAGGGCCTGCCCWGGGACCTCTCTCCAGCCGAGCTCTAACCCAGGACTACATCCCTCCTCCTTGATCCCAATGGGGCACCCCACACAGAGCAGCTGCACGCCTCGGGTTGCCACAGATGCCGTCTGTGCCCCTCATAGCCCAGGCAGGCCCTGCTCACCGCTGAACCCCCAGCAAGGAAGGTGGAGAACAGCACGGGGACATGGCAGGACCAAGCCCACCATGAACTTGGTGGTGACAACATAGGCATTTTTAACTCCCACTGAGTTTTCAAAACCCAAGGAGAAGGTCCTCCAGCAAAGGTCTGACGCAGCTCAGCACAGCTGATGTGACTCTCTCATTGCCCACAGAGCAGCTTGAGAAAGCRCCCGCTCTCCAGGTCTCAGTTTCAGCCCTTCTAAGAAGGTGAGGATGCTCCACAGGGCCAGCGGAGGCAGTGCCAGGTGTCCAAGCCCTCTCTCCTCCTTGCACCACATCCCTGCCGCAGGAGGGTGGCAAGTGCTTGGCCATACACACGGGCACAGGAAAGGAGGGGACGACCTGCAGGGGACGGCSCAGAGAAAGTCCTGAGCCTGAGCCTGCAGCCCATGATAGGAAGACAGACAATAACCCCAGAGGCCACCTTGGAGGAAAAGCATCCACTTTATTACAGATTCCAGAAGCTCCCAAGGCAGTTTCAGGAGGACAATTTTACACCAGATGTTTCAATTTCCAGCAAGGAAGAGAGAAGGAAGTGGCAGGAGGGACAAAATTAACCAACCCTATTCATTGCTCTTTGGTGCTAGAAGACACACACCTCGTGTGACACAGAAACAGGCTGCGGGAGAGAGAGGGGCCTCGGCCGAGAGAGGAGGAACCCGTGCCCTGCGCCCACACACACTCAGCGATGCCCACAGAGACTTTGCAACCCAGGGTCACCTAAACTGCAGCCRCGTTTTGCTGCCCACCAGCCTGCACCTACCCCAGCACCCCTAAAGCGTTGTAGRAGACCTACAACCTAAAGCGTTGTAGCCTTTCAGCTACACACCACCATGGCTGAACCATCCATCCTGGTATCGTTCAAACACCTTTTTCTTTCTTTCTTTTTCTTTTTTTTTTTTTTTTTTCTTCTGCAAAGGAGGAGAGCAAGTCCCAGGAAGAATCAGTAACTCAAATCTCTTGGCTGGAGAGGAAGGAGACAGGAAAGATGGCCAGTTCCCAGTACTTCGGATCCCTACGGAAGGCGAGGAAGCAAGGTCCCTGCTTTACTCCTCGCCTCTCTCAGCAGCAACGGGTTCCTTGGTCCACTTGCCTGTGACCTCCTTGYCTTCTGCGTAGCCCAAGTCAGGCAGCAGGCCTGGAGCTCCCTCGCCATCCCCAGTGACTTCTAGGTCCAGCTCCTCGAAGGAAGAGCCACTGGCTCCCGACTCGCTGTAGCTGTGCTCGCTACGATTGTCGGCCTCTTCCCGGCCACGGCTGGCTGGGAATGGTGACAGGATGGAGGTGGCCACTGAGGTGTCTCTGCTGCCCGTTGTGGCCTCCAGGCTGACRGAGCTGGTCTCACTCATGGTGTCGGCCCCTGGGACAGAGAGAGGAGGGGAGGGAGTGAATGTTGAGGCAAAGGCTAGATGCAGCAAGTCTGGCTGATGCAGTGCTTAAGTGTTTTTGAAGCCATCAAGAACCTTGGAAACACCAGCAAAGCAACACACCACAGTGGAGAGCATCATCTAGCTCGCATCACCTCCTGCGCCTTCAGACAACCAACGGGGCCAAGACAAGTGCGAGCACCCTGGGACAGGAGGTTGGGAGCTGCTTCATTAATGCTGGAACCTGAAGGGAGGCACTGAGGAGCAGCAGTTGTGAGAGCAAGACCCCCAGCAGTGCCTTGGGCCACCAGCAACTGGTTTGTGAGGGAGAGTACCCAAGCTGGGAACGTGGGGACAACCCTGCGCTGTGCACGGCGCTGGCACATCGCCGGGTGCAGTGCTGTGCCACAGGGGCCGGGGGCAGTCGGGAGGGCTGCTTCGTTCCTCGAGCACCAAATGAGGCAGGGATGCCCCAGTGGAACGCAGATCACGCTCAGATCCTTGGACACGCTGAACTCAGGTGAAGTCACATACGCAATATGCAGCCTTCCTCACAGGCTCAACGTAAGAGTTGTTGCAACTCACCCATCATTCCTCTTCTCTCGCAAATGCTTGAATGGGAGTAACTAAGGTCAGAGAGCACCCCTGCTCACAACACACTGATGTTACGGTGGCCACAAGAACGTTATGGTGGCCACAAGAAGCACCAGAAAAAACTGCTGAAACACTGGCCTGCACACAGACCCAGTGGTGTCCGCCTGGGTAAACCACCTCCCACATCTGCCTGTGAGCCGCTGAGACCCAGCCCTCTCATCTCCTATCACCCAGTGCAGCTCAGCTGCCAGCACAGCGACACAGACCCCCCCGCAAGAGCAGAAACGGAGCCAGCACCTCCAGAGAGATGTGCTCCAAAGCAGGGGAGAACCACTGAGAGCCAGAAGGTCTCTGCTCTTCTATATGCACAGCAAAGGAGGATAGGGTTGGAAAGGTGGCTGAGCACTGGGGCTGCAGCTGCCTTGCCCCGAACCTCTCCACAGCCAGTGCAGGAGCCAGACCTCCCGGAGAATGAAGCCTTTGTACCTCAAAGGAACACGCAGGGCACCTACAGCTGCAGAGGTGCACAGAGGGGTGCGGGCAGGGCTGGGGGAGCCCAGGCGAGGGGAAGCGGGGGCACAAGGGCTGACAAAATGGAGAAGCTGGTGGCCCTCATCCTTCCCTTTCGCCCGGCGCTGGAAGGAGCAGGAAGCATCTCCGCTTTCTCTCCCCAAGCACCAAGCCCTTCTGCCCCAGCTTCCTGCTCTCACCACCTGAGCCCACACTGCTCAGTAAAACGGCCCTGCCTTCCCCACGCATCCAGGGGAGGGATGGCCCCAAGGCATGTGGCATTACTGCCCTGCGTGGCCCCAGCTCCTCTGCAGCCTTCAAACCACATGGCAGCATAAGGGCAGCAGGGGAGCAGCACTCCCAGCTCCAGGTTTGAGGACAGAGGGGAACAGAGTAGAAGCAGGCACCAGCCTTCCCAGCCAGAGCGACATTCCCACACCACTGGGCCCGAAAACCCTCGTGCCCTCAAGCATCATGAGGTGCTTGGGCCCACTGCCTCTGCAGACCCTCCTAGCAGGTCGTTGCCTCAGGGGTTTGGTCAACAGCACCAAGTTGGTGTTGACAAAGAGACAATTGTGTCAGATGAAGCTTGGGGCTGTTGCCAGAGCAACCAGCTGGGAGACAAAACTCTCCTGTAAAACATTAATCATCATTAATTACAATTTCACAGAGTTATGACAACAGAAGCAAATATTGGGTGGCCTTCCTGCAGCGGAAGATGCCTGTCCTTCCACCTGGTGTCACTCCCTTTCCCATCCTCTTCCTCTGCGGACGAGCTGCCTGGAAGCACATGCCATGCTTGGGCTGCCTTCTGGCTCTGCTATCACCTCTGCTTGTTCCTTCTCGTACGGGTAAGGACTACACCAAGTTGGAAAATCAGGCCATGCAACGCTCCCATTTCAAAGCTAGGAAGGGAAAACAGGGAATAACACCTGCAAGGACCCGGGAAATCCTGGCAGGCGTCCTTCAGCATGGCAGGTACTCGGCAATACTTGCGGTGAGCTCAGAAGCGACACTGGAAGAGGACCGTGGGTTCATCAAGACGAGCAAAGCTCCTCTCCCGTGCGCACACTGCCTTGGGGACACCAGAGCGTGGGGCACGCGGCTAGACACAGAGGCAGCAATGAGAATTTCTGTGAACTCAGAGGGGCTCCAAAGAAAAGGCGAGGAAAGCACGGCACAATGTGGACATCCTCTCTCCTCCCAAACAGCCAGCAGCAGCCTCATCTTTAGGCATGGGCCCATGAAAGAGGAAGGGGTTCCTGCAGCCATCATCAGCCTCCCCAGATGCCCRGCAATAAAACTCTCTGCCTTTTCCCCACCTCAGAAGCAGGAGCTCTGTCTTCTGGAGGGAAGGGACCTACCAGAGGATTAATCTTCAAAACACTGTGCATTACCACGCGTTCTTTGCTGTTTATGCTACTTGGCATGGTTGGCTGCCAAGAGAACTGCTTGGAAATGGCAGTTCTTTCCCTTCTGAGCAGCAGCATCCCACAGTCCCACCTTCAGAGCGAGAACAATTCGGAGAGGACCAAGCAGCAAGAGCAGGACCAGGCACAGATGGGAAAGGCACAGCAGAAAAAGCAGAGGCCGCTCACGGATCAACCCTGCCTTCCTCCTGCCCCTGTGGACCTGCAGGAGAGGAGTTTTGCCAGTTCTTAGCTGAGGCTAATGCTAGCGAAAGAGGAGGATATACTCAAGTGTCTCCTCTCCCAACTCCCAACATAGGACAGGCAGCATAGGAAGCTGAAGCACAGGACAGGGTGTGTGCCTCAACCCAGAAGGGTCTGAATTTCAGCAGGTGACACGAGCTGAACAAAACGCGCAGCTCTCCAAACAAGCAGTGCTCGGAGGATACTCACCGAAGGGGAATAAAGAAACAGCAGCCCCGGAACTGCCACACGTTTGCTACAAGATCAGGGAGAGCCTCAACACGGAAACCACATTTGCTCTAAGTTGAAAAGGATGTTTCGCCTGCTGCTGGTTAGGTGCTCGCTGAAGGAGACCATGGGTAGCCAGGAGTTGCGCAGGCAGGCGAGGCAGAAAGCCAGGGCTCCTCTGCTAACTGCAGTTAACTCAGCAGGGTGCCGGGTCAGTCGAGACCCTCGAGAAAGATCAAGAGCACAGGGAGCTGCAGGAGATGAAGAACACAGTCTCYCCGAGCTCACTGCGAGCTGGAGGCCCCTTCCTCAAGCAGGTTGCCTCTTCCGTGGGTTCCGACAGGATTTGCTCCAGCTCCACCACCGTCAAACAACGCCTGTCTCAGGCAAACAGCTGCAGAGACCTGAGAACCAGCCAGCAGCAGCGGCTCCTCTCTCTCTTGCTGGCCTGCTGGTTTGGGCAGCTTGGGCTCACCCAAGAGCTTCCTCATGCTGGGAAAGGCTCACAGGGACAGAGAGCAGAATTTTTGGGCTGGGGGATTGGGCTCATAACAGATTTCCAGCAAACGGGTCAAACCATAAAACATGCAGTCCCACACATCTGTGGGCGCTGACTTATGTGGTTGGGCCAGGGTGAGCAGGACCCCTGCAAGGAAGCACAGGCCTAGGTAAATCAACAGCCTAGGCAGACAAAGCAATGGCTGCTGTCTCCTCTCAAATACAGTATTAAAACTCCCAAGTCCGGCCAAGGGTTTTTAAGCTCACTAGCAAGGACCTCAAAAGCTCAGGGAGAGCCAAGGAATGGCTGCAGCTCCAGTGCTTTGAGGTCCCATAGACACAATCCCTCTGTGATTCACGGGTGCTGGGGCAAAGCCCAGCACAGCTTCCAGACTGAAGGTCACACCATTCTGTTCGTCCTGAGGCCCTCCAAAAGCTGCCGCCCAGCATGAGCCAAGTTCTTCTCTGCCTGCAAAGTATCCACACAGTATTAAGGAGGCGGCAGGTCTAGCTGAGGTGCTGTCATGTAACCACACACCAAAAAACAAGGGAAGTCTGGAGGAGACAAGCACCAGCTTTGGAAGCTAAAAGACACGGATAAAGCTGACCTGCGTTTGCAGTCGCTCTGCTCTAAACCGACTTCACAGAAAACTGCCGTTGTTCTCACCCCCAGCAGCCTTGTCTCTCTTCTGCTCCGAGGGCGACAATAAATAGATTCGTGTTTCCTTTTAGCCAGGCACTTCTTCACTGCTCTGTCACTTTCCATCATGTTTGAGCAGCCTCAGCTGGCAAATTTGCCCATTTCAGCAGCCTCGCTGCGTTCTGCACAGGACAAGGCTCGCGCCGGTGGAGCCTGCCAGCCCGACCGGCGAGGCACGGCAGCGCAGGGGCCAAAACACGCAGGGGCAAGAGAAGGAGCCATTTGCTCTCGTGGGAAATGCAAGCCACCTTAGGCATGGGGACATGGCATGAAGCTACATACGTTCCAGCAGATTTACAGCTCCTGGATCCAGGAAGGATTCTCCCCACGGCACACAGCTAGGTGGAAGCACACAGTGCTGTCAAAACGCTCTTATTTATTCCRCTTCCTCCAAAGACAGCACAGCCGGCTGCAACAGGTTCCAGGTCAGGAACACAGTACCTAGAACGGTTTCCTTTGTGAGAAAGAGAGGCAAGTTTTGACTTGCTAGATGCAAAGACTTCTAAGCACAGCTCTGGAGATGACCTAACTAACTAGGTTGTGACCACCAGCAGAGTCTGAACCCTGAGGACTTGACATTATTATAACAAAGTGTATATTGTATTAACGCCGGGGCTTTGCCCAAGCTGAAAAGCATGATATGGCTTGTCCACTGGAGTACAAGTGTGGTCGAAGGATGAGGAAAGCTAAAAGCAAGTGAAAACGTTGAAGCATGAGGCTCGAAGCCAAACTACATCTACTTGGGATTCTTTTTCCAGGTAGAGAAAGGGCCAGTCCAATGGCACAAGAGCCTCTGCAGGTTCAACGTGAG